TTTAACCTACAGTCAAATGGGAGAACCAGAGTATACACGTCTACAGCCAGTAGCAACTTCAATCTAAGGCCCCCCCAGTTACATCTCCTTACCAGACCATCGGCCATTGCCTCATACCTTACCACACCCCATAAATCCCGTGTATCCCGCAGTTGCAGTATATACCACAGCCCGTATGGATACACCAGCACTGAACACTGCTATTGTCGCATCTGATCGCTCCACATATTAATCTTAGGCGCACAGAACTGTGTCGAATTCTTACTAGTTCCCTTATCGTTGTCAAACAGAAACTCAACAAGCACTCCGGATGATTGAGCTGTATGCAGTTTGAAGTCGGGAAACTAACACCCCCCCTCCCCCAAGTTATGACCAGGATGACTTGTCGTGTTTTATTTTGTATACCTTCTGTAATGTCGAGACGACATTTTTTTCGTGGGGGGGAGTGTGTAGCAACCAGGACGAGAGTAACTGGGACTAGCCCAGGTGATTATTATGGGATTAAAAAAAAGAAAAGGATCGTACGAGAAAAACAAGGCGGTGAAATCGACAGTCGAGGAGAACGTTACCGTTTGTTGTTTTAGTTATTTCGTGGGATTAAAGCGGTGTGCAACACTAGCAATAAAATCTTTCCATTACTTAAAGGGACGTCCTTCCGCCAGAGAATGCCGAATAGGTTTTTCTTTTTACGAAGATGCTTTTTCATTTCATTAAGAGGAATGAAAAAACAAAAACAAAAAAACAAAAAAAAAAAGAAACAATACCAACAACACCTAAATGAACAACAGATGCTCTGTGTGGGTGAGTTCAATTCCTGCACCCAGGGGTTTTCATACCATATGGTTACCGCTGGCCTACTGCTGCCTGTGAGACCTCTTACCGTCTGTTTGGTCTGCGAGCAGGCTCTGGTGATTGGGTTTTGCCTTACGGCACAGCCGCCTTTTTCGCCGTCGACAGCTGATTAGAGAAAACGTTAATGAAACCTCTGCTGGCGCACCCCTTCTTTTTCGCGCTAGCCTTAGGGCAACCTTACCCTCCCCCCCTTAGAGAAACGGAAGGGAGGGAACGTCATTCCCTTCCTTTCGTTTCTCCTCTGAGTGAGAATACGGCTACACGTAGGCTATTTTACAACTCTGTTCATTAACAAAATGAAATCGGCAAAATGCGAGTATACTTGTAGATGTCATCAAATAAGAAGGAAGAAAAAAAAAGCAACAGAAAAAAAGTAAAGGATTTGTAAAGGCTACAGATTGCACCCACCTTTGTTTATTGTACTTTCTTTTGGGAAGATATTTAACATAGGATATTTAACATAAGATATTTAACATAAGATATTTAAAGTCATATACGACGTACAAATGTTGTATGAACTGATGTTCTTAACATATTTTGACGTCTTCTTTGATCTATTACTATACAGACCAGTTGCGAAAAGTAAAAGGTTTTTAGTGAGGAAATTATCTATGCGTCTGTTCTCCTAAAGATCAGAGGTAAGAACCAATCAGGTGCCTTAATTATATAGTTTATTCTAAAATGTGCTGCATTTTAATAAGGAGGAAACAAAGGTTCTTGGTCTCTTCAATTTTTGGGACGGTGGGCGGTGGCACTCGATTTATTCCACGGGATGCATTTTAGTCTGAGCTGCGAGTACGCTTTTATTTGCACTGGATCACAGAATCCTGCTAGGCTTCTCGAAGTCTGCGTGGATTTTGGCATGAAAAAGATCCTTGTCGACCCCTAGAAGGAAACGAGGAGGGTCGGCTGGACTCCCGCAGATATCCCTTGAAGCACGTGGGACGCACTCGCAACTCTTCCCACAGGTTAACTGCGTGCTAGTTTGCACCTTTTTGAGTATTCCTATCAGTTTATCTGTTTTGCTGGCGTAACCACAGTTTCTTGTCGGTTTCTGTAGTAACGCGACTTTAAACTACAACCCCGGACAAAACTGTTGAGACATTTCAATGTAATTTTTAATTTCCCGCCATGCAACAATCGCTTCCAAAAGGAACAAACTTGCCCCACTCCCCACCCCTTGTACCATGTTGTTGAGGCTTAACAACTCAAGCATGCATTTCTTGTGTCACCGCAAACAAAATTGCAATAGGGGAGGGGGGGGGGAAACAATCTTTGAATTTTGCGACGGTAAGCATTTTTGTCTGGGTGAGTGCAAAAATAGGTATTTTTGTAAGGTGTCTCAACAGGTTTTGTCCGAGGTTGTAGCTTTGCCGAAACAAGTATTTCGGCGCTGACGTGACTGCCTCGATCCTGGAAAATGACTAATGTGTCTGTCAACATTATCACAGGCTGGGAAAAAGATAAAATTGTTGATAGTATAACAAAAAGAAGTATCAGATACAATGAATATATGAAGTTCATATATTTTGAACGGCGGTATTTACGAATCAACTTAACGGCCTGCTCCCAGTTGGCTTGTTAGCTCAATTGGTAGAGCGCTGCACTAGTATCGCAGAGGTCAGTGGTTCGAATCCCGTACAGGCCTGATTTTTTTCAGGTCTGATTTTCGCTATTGCATAAATAGCGCTATCTACTGCGAGGATCGTGCATCATACGTAAAATGAAGTATGGTATGATATGTCGTTCACTATGAAGGAAAAGATAGAAAAAACCTCAAACTACTGCAGTATTCGGCGAAATAATATTTTACATAATATTTAAGAAAAGAAACATTTATAACATGTTTCGTGAGTCAGTCCAAAATTAAAGTGACTTATTGTTTTTACGCTAGAATCTCCCTGACAAAACAGCCAAAAACAAAAACATAAAAATAAAAACAAACAAAAAAAAAAAAAACACTTGAGAAACAGATGGACCGCGAGTCACCGTATTTTTCTCTTCGGAGATGTTTCATGCGGATTCCTCTATCTTCTGGGCCATTTCATAGCCTTTGTACACCTAAAAATGTCGATGATTTCAAAAAAAGCAACAAAAGGGAGCGGGGTTAAATGGAACTAAGAACTTATATGCGCATGCATGCAAGCGAAAAGGGAGACATGATTTTAGTCTTCTAATTATCGAGCTTTTTCGTTATTCACTGGGAAATCTATTTGAGATATTTTTGTAGGAAGAAATATGTCTCAATCTTTCGGTCTGAAATGGGATCACGATTTTGAGAAATACAGAGAAATACGAGTATTACCCACTTAGTTGCTGCACGTGCTTGTGTGTACTAAAATGATCTTTGACCAGTAGAGCTTCAATCAAAAGGGGGTTTAGTTGTTGGCCGTGGAGTTGTGGCTGACATGGAGAACCACTCCTCTTCTCTTTTGTACATGAGTTAAGCAAAAGCGATGGAAAGCAGTTAAGATTCACGATGATTGATAATAAGAGTCAGACGAATTCTCTCAAGGGTTATAATAAGCGAGAGGTCTTCGAAACCATGTAACCAAATATACAGTGAAACGTTCGATGTTTAGTTATGCAAGAACGAAAGCTGTGTTGCCACTTTGAGGGGGGTGAGTAGGCTAACGGATCGGCGGATTCTGAGAATTATTTTGCCCGGATTTAGGATTTAGAGCAAAATTTTAACGGATTTGCGGATTCTGAAATTGCAACGCTTTGCGGTTTTGTCAATTTTTTTAGGTCCGGATTTTGGATTTTGCTTGTGAGGAAGTTCGGATTGTGGATCTGAACGATCGTGAGAAATGCGTTGTTTTCTGAGTATGTGTATTTTTTTTGTCGCGGACGAGACTCTGCAGGTCACGCATCAGGGAAATAGTAACGCACAGCGACGTCTGCTGTGTTCGCGCCCTTATCCTCGGGGGGGGGGACTCCCATATGAAACAGACGGGGATGCTCGTCGTCTCGCTTAGGGGTGTAAATTTAGGATTTTGGTCTCGCTTACTGTGTTCCAGGCAAAGCGCCAATATTTTAAGCCGCCAAGTTCTCGTTTAGGGTTCCGCGAAGAAATACAGAATTACGCGAAGAGAAACATAAGTAAAATTTTATTTTTAACTTGTTTTGTTTACCGTATTACCTCAACATTAACTAGTTTTCTATTTTACCAAGTGCCAAAGAGACAATGCATGAACATGAGCGGTCTCCTTTAGGGGTCAAAATTTGCTTAAGCCACGCCCAGATGGTCTCCTTTAGGGGTTAAATTTAAAATTTCCGACGGGCATCCCCGTTTGTTTTCATATGGGAGTCCCCCCGAGCCTTATCCGTGACACTGTACCCCACCGATTGCAATTCGCTCGATGGGAAAGCCATTGCCTAGCTAACACACAACAGCTCAAAGTGTGTTTTTCACCTTTTTACGAGGTAAGTAGCGAACGGATTCGGATTTAACAATTTTTTTTAACGGACTGACGGATTGGTTATCAAATCGTAGCGGATCGTCGGATTTGCATACCCCTATTCACCCCCCTCCACTTTGATAACCCTGCGGATAATATTGATAAACGCTAGCTATAATGTGATGAAAGTAGTCACTTTCTAAGTTCAATCCTTTTTGTTTCTATGATCTTTAATTAGCCAAGACGTACGGTCATTGGTCACCAATCTTCGCTTTCACTGAGGAGCGTTCAACTACCCTTTAGCGTTTTCACCGTCAAGTCTGTTTTTAGTTTGAATTTACGCGGAATGGGTTTCCTTACGGAAGCCCCTCGACCAGTCATGATTAGCGTGTAGTTAATTTACTACTTGACTCGTTATTACGACGAAAGCAAAATGGTAGAGAGATGCGAGGAATCTTGTGATAGTTCGAGCTCGAGTTGTCTATTTCCCGGGAAAAGATAGTCTAACAATAACCCGTTCTGTGAAAATGTCGTGACATAGGCTCAGTAAGGGAGTTGAACGCTCCAGGTAATGGACCCAGGCTGCCCCTGCCATATATGTCGCGTCTATTCTTATTCTACTGACCCATTGAGACACCCTCCTGAGAGATCTGAGAGCCTTTGATTGACACTACTGACAATCTGGAAACTTTCCATAATGATTCACATGTCCAAGAAAAGGTTATATTTATTCTACTTTTGGAACTGCAGTCAGATCACAATTCACTTCAACCCTTTCTACGAGCGCTTTTCGCTGCTGAAAAACTGTGTGGAAGGAAAAAAATCCTAGAAAAATTTCCCCACCGCTGACCCTTGTATTGCACTCTCAGTTCCGCATCGTGACAGGCTCAGAAAAGGGTTCAAGAGGTGAGAAAAATAAATTAACGTTTTCACTTGGTTTCGACGTTCAACGTTGTCGCAGTATAGCGGCGGGTAAGTCAAGTGTATTTCCTTTTTAACTCAGTAGCAGTGAAACAACGGAATTTGATGCGTGTAGGGAAATGTTAGTGTGAATCTTGCAAGGCTCCCGGAATCGTTTAAAAATTTTGCGCTCGGAATGGATTTGCAGGGTGCTACGCGCTGTGCAGAAATTTATTTTCTACTTCAGCGATTCAATCGGCAATGATCTACATTGCACAGCCAAGTCGAATTCGATTATTTCATGGCTATGCCGAGTGATTTAGGTATGACTCCAAACGTGTTAGAATAACTGGCTTGAAGGCAACTTTTGCAATGTCATTGGTTGTGCTGGAGCAAAATGAAATATGACACCCTGTGAAACTTGCACAATTTTAGTACATCCTGTAAATATCATATCAGTTTTAATAATGAACAGCAAGTAGAAATACAAGTCTTGGTGAAAACGACTTTATTTAATATGTGATGGAATTTTTTTATTTTAGTGCTTCCGTTGAAGTTGTGTAATGATCTGTTTAGATCCCAGGTCAAGGCATGAGTAGAGATGATGACCTTTATTGTTCGACTTCGTTAGTCTTTTGTCTCTGTGCAAAAGCGTGTGTCATTGTATGCTGCTGTATTGCACGGGTGTTATAGATTTTTTTTGTTCTCTTAATGATCAAGAAATGGACTATTTTATCAAATTAATTTGAGATCATTTTGCATTAAGACCAATTTGTGGGTGTTACCTCTAGTTTTTCAGTTTCAAAAGTCGAAAGAAATTTTCGCGAATCTCGATCAGTGAAGAGCTTTATCTTGAACACTTGAATAAATAAAATGAGAAAGTGAAAGAAGCACTAGTCACAACATCAACATTTTAGAGAGTAAATAGAAAAATGTTATTCACCGAAATATTTTTACTCACGTAATTGTAAGGGCAACTTAAAATGCTTCTAAGCAAAATTTGAAATATAATTTGACACCCGTCAATTCGAGAGGAAAAAGAGCGCATGTACACTTTTGTGCGAAGATTAGTACAGTGTGACATCTACACGCCATTTAACTGGTCGTTATGAGATCTCTTAAAAAACAGAGACATCTTACGGATAGTAATTTTCATTTCCTACGACAATTAATCTTTGAGGATTTACCTCAGTTCATGGTTAAACGTCGCGGAAAGTCAAATTGTAAGTGAATTCGAATGTATGTTGTGAAGTTCTGAGAGTCTACTTGTTTGTTTTCTGCAATGGCGTGTAAATCTTGTCTTTCTTCCATTGAAAAGACTAAAGTCGAATGATACACTTTTTCTTGTTAGATATAATGGGATAAGTGCGACTTTTAGTCATCGAATTCTTCGGTTTATGTTGTGTAATTTCCAAATTTCAAGGGACTTGCAAAGAGTAATTGAAAGTGTATTTATGGAAGATCCCAAAACTTCGCATGACGTTTCACAAACAAAGAAATCGTTTCGGAGGATTCAGATATCAAATGAATGAGAGTCACCTTGATTAATGTAATTTTTAACTGCAAAAGGATTTGGTTTTAACTTTCTGAGTTACCTTTTGAGAACGATTATAAAATCACAAATGGTTTATTGGCTGTGTTTTAATCTTTTAAAAAACAAATTTAGTAGCAGAAAATTTATTTCGAAATCAATTTTTGCAGCGAAACCAAAGTGATTTGAGAAAGAGAGTGAGAATTAAGAGAGAGAATAAATGTCATTTATCGGCTAAAGGTCGTGACCGAAGTGTTTGCTTAAAAATATTGCCCAACTCGTAAAACAAGATATATTTATGAAAAATTGCAAGGAAGCTAGAGATGTTCTGCAAAGGAACTCAACTTGAAGCTGTAATTACCACCCGCCGAGGGCAGCAGGCCTGATTAAGGAGAATACCGCGTGTTCTCAGAATCATCAGATATTAGGAGTTGTAGAGTACCACCCGCTCCTAAACTGAGAAAAAAAAAAAGAAAACTTAACATTAAAACTGTATAAGAAAGTGATGAAACTGAAAGGTTTACCAACATAGTTTATAATGAGTTGAGGACTTTGATGGAATATACCTTTACAAGTATTTATAAATGGACGCTTAATTACGTCCTTACATTGTCCATCAAACTACAAATGGTTACAGTGGATCTGCCTTTTATTGAGCTTTAACTTTTATCTCATCACTTTTTCTAATTTTTTTTCGAAGGCTTTTTCAGCCATGAATAACCTTAAACTTGGATTTGTCCTTATTGTCCTAATTCAGGTTAGTTAAGCCATTTCTATGCGAAATTTTAGCATTTGTATTTTCCCTACTGCTCTGCATACATTTTCTTTGGTGCTTTGAGGAGAATTTGTTTAACGATCAAGAATACTGGTAGTTTGAGCATTCTATCTAATGATGTACTTTCAATAATTGTTTTCTTCCTAGGCTACTCTTTTGAGTGCGGGTAAGTTATGTTGAGATGACTTTCATAATATTATTGCTACTTGTATCTCTAAAGAAATTAAATTGTTAATACAGGGCCTATATTTCTGGATTGCTAGTCAATAATTTGTAAGAATTTCTACACACTCCCAAGGTCACTTTTGGACTCAGTTTAACGTGTAATTTAATTTGGTCATCTCCTATGTTAGTTTTGCCAAATGATAGTAGAACACTCAGAGAAAAATTAAAAGTCTTTAATACATGAAGGTTTACTTGTAAAGTTTTAATAATGGAAAGACAGTGGGTTATGGTAGCACATGTTGAAAACTCTGGGCTTAAAAGACTTGTCAGGTCATTGTTTCTTGTTCTTAACCCTTTAATCTTTAGAAGTTATTAGCATGAAACTTAGAACTCCCAATCATATCGGTACATTATCCAGCAAACAGGTAATGAGAAAACTGAAACTTATTGGGTTGAAGTTGTTATCTTGACGCAACACCAAATTCTCATAACTTATTTACAAGGAAATGTGAAGCAGCTAGAGAGGAGAATAGGAGTAATTCTTCTGGTATGGCTTGCAATTTTTTAATTTCTTGTTTCAGTCAAAGATGGCTTATGCCCAAGGGCACCACCTTATGGCCCCTGTGTCACTACCTGTGGGGCTGATGAAGACTGTGATGGTTCAAAAAAGTGTTGCAGCAATGGCTGTGGCTCTTGGTGTCTTGAACCAAGTAAGAACACTGTAATTGTTTGTGGAGTTTTCCTTTTTGGATCACAGTATAATGAGAGTTGAATGATTTCAGGTGAAGAGGAATTCAAACTAGTTTGATTTGTGTTGCTTGTGGTTACTGTTACAAGGGGAGTGGGTTATACATATTCAAATGGGAAGCCTGTTTGAACATTGTGGCTGATAGAAGGGTTGCATGCTCAGGGAAAATGTTAACATTGGTATGTCTTGATAATCTAAAAAAAATATTAGGATTGAGTAAGTGACTCACTTATTTTTACCCAATTGACGTACTCTAGCTTTGAGGTTTGGTTACCAAGCTGTCATTAATGTTACAAACATTCAAAGGAATAGAATGATGAAGTGATACCTTTGCATAATAGTAAGGCCAGTAGTCTCTACTGAAATGGCCAGAAAGCTGATCTTTATGTTTTGAAAATATTCTGAGATGTTTTTCAATCTGTAATGGTTCTGTAGTGGACTGTACTGTCAGAGGAAAAATTTCAAACAGTAATAAATGATATAATACTCATCAACTTGGGGATTATTGTTACATTAATTTTTTATTAATGTAATTATTTATTAACGTAATTAATCTGTTGCTTTGGAACTATTCAGTGTGTCCACCTGGTCAACAGCATGTGGACTGCTCCGCCCAGCTATGTAATTATGCTGGGTGCCCTGATAAACCTCAAGAGAGTTTGAGATGTGTGGTGGAATCCTGTGGCAAGTGTAGTATGAAGTTTATAAACAAGACAACAGGACAAACTGTAAAGTGTGGTCCAGGTAAATAAATGAAAGGAGTCATTTCATTTGACCATCTAAACCTTTTTTATTCTGACTGGAAAAAAAATGCTTTTTCAGTTTGCCAGCTTTAATCTCCTCTCAGACCCTTGTAGAAATTATATTTTCTAGACAAAGAACTTGAATGTAGAGTTCGCACTGTATACTTCAAATTCTTAACCCTTACACCCCAACCTCAGTATGTAATTAGTCTCTATAATTATTAAAGGGGTGGCAAGTTTCTAAAGAAATTGTGTTGCTTGCATTAATGGGGGAGTATAACAAGGTAGTTATGGTTTTATCAACTGAATTGGTAATGTTTATTGGCCACTGTAAAGAGTTTCAAAGCTGATGTTTTGAGCGCCAGCCCTTTGCTCTGACATAGAGCTAATGCTTGAAAGGTCAGCTTTGAAACTCGTTATGGTGGTTAATCTACAATTATCAATTCAGTTGATAAAATCATAACTACCCTTTTATCATCTATATTGTTCTTCATATATTTCCTATGTTGTTGACCAGGAGAATATGTTCAACAATCAAGAGCCACTTTAGTTGGTGATCATCTCTTTTATTCTCATTACCTCAATGTGTGATTCAGAGGGGGATGTTGTGAGGATCGAGTCTCAAATTAGATGCCATATGTAATGGACACTTTTAGGCGTCAAATTCCTGAATCAGTTACTTTGAAAGGAAGCTATCATTTTTATAAATCAGTGTTATTCACATGATAGTATTTGTTTGAAATTTTTTCTTAGTTTTGAACTATTGGAACCTTAAGTTCTTTTTGTTTTTTATTATGACTTTCCTAAATAACAAAAAATCAAAATAATAAAATTAGGTAAAAAAAAAAAAAAAAATTAAACAAAGGAAAAAAATTAAAAGTAAAACTTGTGGTTAGAAAGATGCTTACATCAAATTGGTTTAACAATATTATGATAGGCCATTTCAACTTTTTTTTCTAGTGGAAACTTTGTGCAAGCGTATGCTAGCTGCTACCCAGCAGAAGCCCCTTCTTCTGGGTCAGTATGTGCCTTCCTGTGATGCAAGCGGACATTTTAATAGAGTTCAGCTCCAAGAGGGATATTTCTTTTGTGTTGATGACAGAGGAATTCCTGACTTTTCCACCAGATCAAGAACTCAGCCCAAGTGTCCGGGTATGTGTTACATAATTATTTATAATAAGTAGTAATTTACACTTTCTATCAGTGTACTGGCATAGTTACCCTCGTTGGTTGTTGGAAGATATCGAACACAAACAATTATTGTAACCCAAAGAGAGCCAAAAAGAGCTTTGAAGTAGTTCCTGAGCATGCAGTCTGAGTGGTTCTGAGAAGGACTTTTGTGGGTAGCAGTGGCTGATATTTAAACAACTTGGACGGAAAGGATGACATCCATCGAGGTTGTTGAAACCTCAGTCACTACTACTGACAGAACTCCTTAGTAGGACTACCCTTACAGGAATGATCAGACTACACAATCCAGGTTCAAACCAGTTACTTTAATGTAGTTACTATTTATGTTGTTTAAGTCAGTGTTTAACAGCTCCCTTACATTTTTAGCTGGTTTGTAGAAACAATTCAAAATGAGTAAATGGAGTAGCTTCAATAGGTGTGATACATATCTTTTTTAGGTTTGCTTGAATGAACTTCATTAAAGGTGTTTTTTCTTTCTTATTTTCAGAGTTATCTTTGTGCCAGAAGAAGAAACAAGAAGCTGAGAAACTTCCTCCAGTTGGTCATTTTGTGCCACAGTGTAAGAGTGATGGTTCGTTTAAGAAGAAGCAGTGTCATCCATCAACTGGACAGTGCTGGTGTGTAGACCATAATGGACAAGAATGGAGTGGAACCCGCACAAGAGGAGACCTGAACTGTACAACTTCTGGTAGGCATAGATGCAGCCAGTAAATTTTAGCCACTTACATTCTCTGGTTAAAAATCCTTTTAAAGTGCAAGCCTTCAACAAACATTTGTGACCTCTCACGTGAAAACGTTCCTAACGGTAGCCGTTCAAACAGTGAACAGAACGGCAAGCGAACGGGTGATGAATGGCTTGGAAAGCCGTTCAAAACGGATACTGTGAACGGATGAACGGCTAATTAAAATTTGCGAATGGATGAGGTCAAACGGATGAACGGCTAGTGAAAATTTTCGAATGGACAAGGTCGAATGGATGAATGGCTAATTAAAATTTTCAAACGGATGAGGTRGAACGGATGAAGGGCTAATTAAAATTTTCGAACGGATTAGGTTGAATGGTGAACGGCTAATGAAAATTATTGAAGTGATGAATGGCTAATTTTTCGAACGCTGAGATGAGCCTCACAGATGAGATTGAATGGATAAACGGCTAAGCGGTCGAACAAGTGATCGCCTGTAGAAATTATTTGAACAGATGGTTTCATCAAAACGAATGCCAACATAGCCGTCCCAAGCTCTTGTCTTGAGCCAAAGCGAAGGACTATTTCATTAAAGCGTCCCGCGTTGGGTGACGCGGTGTTAAGTAACGCGAGGTGTTTGACACAATCTGTGAAAAGATAACTTGAAACGAGTCGAAACTCAATTGTTTGAATAACTCGACTTCGCTTTCAGTGCATTCAAATGGATTACAATCAATATTTTTATCATTGAATTCGACTGATTAAGATAAGGTACAACCAAGGAACTTGCACTCAAAAAGCATAGTTCTCAACTTCAATTCGGGTTTAAATTTCCATAATCCCAGCTTCCCTGTCACTCCATCAAAAATGTGTTGCCTTGATAACTGCTAACAACTTGTCAATTACTGCCATTTCACACAATCACAAAATGGAGAATTCAACAAGAGAAGATATGGATTGCGATCACACCGAAAAGGTTTCTACCATCATTGCCAAAGTGTGAAGTGAACGGCTGATCAATTTTCTCGAATGGATAGCTTGAACCGTTAGAACGGATGATGAATATTCAAGAACAGATAGCTGGAGGCATTCGAATGGATTATGAATATTCAAGAATGGATAGCTAGAGGCGTTTGAACGGATGATGAAGTTTCAAACGGCATGCCAATCCAGTAGAACGGCTGGTGAACGGCTAACTGTTCGGAACGTTTTCCCGTGAGAGGTCACATTTCTTTAACATCTACAATAATTTTAATGTTGTTTGCTTTACTGCAAGTGTTTTCAATTGCAAATGTGATATTTTCTTTGAATGTATGTTATTGTTTGTCTTAGTGATTACCAGATTTACAGTTGGTTTTTAGGTGTCTGTGGGGATTAAGGAATGGAAATGAGGGGATTCCTACGACCCTCAGGACTGCTATGAATAAAAATATGCCTAGAGAGCATTCATTCAATATTTAAACAGGTTGATTTGATTCAGAAAGGAAAATTACCTCAGTCCCTTTCATGAATTGTTATCCACTTAAACCATTTGCCTTATGTTTCTCATTCTTCCTGGTTGTCAGCTTATTAAGCCAGCAAATGTTGCATGAACTTTCAAAATGATTTCCAGCCAATATTTCACTTTTTCCAAAGACAAACAGTCCGATCAGCAGAGAGCATCATATTCCCTTTTTATCTGATGATTAAAACTTTATACCTGTTGACCATTTCTGTTTGTCATGTCTTGTCAACCAATGGCATCTTAATTGATAAAAAGTTTAGCCTAGAGACCTGCTTTTGAGGCATCTCCATCTTGCCATCCATTAGTGGGGAGGAAGTGTAGCCCAGTCAGGTTAGGGCTTTGGGCTTGTAATCTGGTAGTCCTGGGCTTAAGCCCTCCACCTGGCCACTCATTGGAGTTATTTTGGTTATCCCAAGTTCAATTCTTGGAATGGGCTTTGTATATATATAGCCAACTGGTCTGCCCCCTGCCAGTTGGGGTTCTATGTTTCTTCCAAATTTTTAAATTTGTTACTATTGGCCCAAAAAGTGCCCACTGGGGAGTGGTCAGTGAAGACATACACTCAGAGATATTAGAGAGTATAACCTACAATTTACATGTTTGGTTGTTGCTGACAGAGAGAAATGATCTCATTTTCAGTGTGCCCAAAGTCAGTTAAAGGGTTTGATTGTGATCCAATGCTGTGTAATACAGCCTCATGCCCTGCCCACAAAGATGCCACCTGCAGGGTGAACACCTGTAACAAATGTGAAGTGGAGTTCCTTGATAAAAATGGCAGAAAAGTTGACTGTAAGTATTGAAGGTCTTAGAGAGTAACTTGATTTTTTTATTAGGTGTGCAACTGTCTCATGAAGTGAAGGTAAAAGATAAAAAAGGGGGTGGTGAATTTAATCCTTCCAAGTATCGTCTGTTTTGAAACACTTTAAGCTTGGATGACAATTTTTGAAAAACTGATAAACTTTAGTCAAAGATAGAGGGAGACAAGGTGTGCAGATATGCTCAATAATTGGATTATCTTGTAATGATGATAATAATAATTTTAACTGCTAATCACCGTTGTAAAGTACAGCAACGACGCGGCTCAACAATGTCGAACCAAAAGCTTACAGATGCGCCTCTGGCAGCTGCTATACGGTCCATGTGTGATCTTGGAGCACAGCTGTGCTTTAACCTGTGGTGCAGGTTAAAGTGTTCCCAAGTTAGTCCTGGCCATTAATGATCTATGGGAAAAGGATATTGAACAACTAATGCAACTTGGTGGAATGGTTACTTATAACTTGTATGAAATTATCACAAATCTTCTCCTGGACAGTGTGCAAGTTCATGGCCAGTAGTTAATCCTTAGCATTTGGTCAGGTTTCTCTGTTGGTTCACTGGTAACCATTCATCCATTCCTGGGTTGAGAGAGGCTTTGTGATCGTACAGTGTCCTGCCCAAGAATGGAACACTGTGATCAGGCTGGGGATTGAACCCAAGGGTCTGCACAACTCAGATAACCTTGGTTTAGACAGCAAGCCTTTCATGAATTTCCACTTGTTACAGTAACTGCACTTAGCAATCATTTACTGTCCATACTTTGTTAATTGCTCTGAAAACTCTCTCCACAGGGGAGTTTAAGATTAAAAATATATTTCAAGAATGGATTATTTTTCCTTAAATAGGCACATTTTAAATGTGTTTTGTTTCTCTATCAGGTTTCTCCAAGTGCCAAAATCAGCGCCTTAAAGCCCTTGGTACTCGGACTCTGGATGAAAAACCAGTACACCCCATTGTTGGACGCTTTGTACCACAGTGTGCATCAGATGGAAGCTATGAGGAAGTACAGTGTTATGGCTCCACTGGTTACTGTTGGTGTGTGGATGTTGGAGGAAACCCTGTGGTTGGAACCATGACTCGTGGCTTACCTCATTGTAACAAGACCGCTTTGGGAGGTGCTGTAACAATTGAACTCACACCATTAATACCAGCTCTTACTAAACAAGTTCAAGGTCCATTCTATTAGTTATTTACTACAGTAAGTTATTTCTGCTCTCATACAGCCATAAATCACACACAGCACATAAATCTGAGGGGAGAAACAGTGTTCTGTAACTCCAGTATGCATTGAGAAAACAAGGTTAGGAAGATTTTTCATGTATCTCTGGGGTTCAAATAGAGGGGGAAGATTTGAATTCAAACAAACTTTTGAATTTAGCAGGTGACACAATTAAATTAACCAATCGTAGTGCACATTTTATCTGAGAGATATAATTAAGACACAGTATACGGTCAGAAAGCAATCACAGATTTTACAAAATGCTTTGGTGTAGCAATTTGAACAGGTCATCAACATGCATGGTGTTTAAATCTACATGCAGAGAGAATTTTCTTGTTATCAGTTCATTGATCAAGGGTCTGTTCTTCCATTCATTCATTGTGTTACTGTTGAACCTTGATAATCTGGACATCAATTATCTGGACTTTTCAATTTTCTGGACCTTTTCTCTGCATGGTCCTGTTTTTTTTTTTTCATGAATATTAATGAGCTTTGATCTTCAAAAGTTTGAGAGGTAAAAAATTCAGAGATTATGTTTTAGGTCAGGAAAAGTGTGTTTAAAAACAGTGCATTACCCCCTCTGCTTTCAAAAGATCAAGCGCTTGGAGATAAAAGTATTCTGATGTGTTCAGCTGAATTTTCATTGGTTCGATATTGTTTTTAATAGTGTTTTTTTGTAGCTTTTGTCATGCTTGATCAGTTTGATGAGGGTAGGTTATGAACTAAACACACGCTAATGATCATATCACGGAAGGACAACGTATCTCTGAGGGGAAAGTGACCTGTTCTCTCAAATAATTATTTTGCGTTTAGATATAGGAGAAAAAGGTACAAATTTAGTGCTTGAATTTAGCATCAGCAAGCAACAGATCTGTGAAATACACAAGAACAATGGTAAGATCCTGAAACTGACCGACAACATCGAGACAAGTGAAGGATTGAGGCAAAAGTCACAGAAGCTTGCATGTACACGAGTCTAGGTGCAATTCATGCGTGTATGTGTAGAAATTGAAGCAGACTTTAAGAATTCAAAATGTGTTACCTTTATTTCTTTTGTCTCGATCATTAATATTCATATTTTCAATTATTTGGGCTCTGGATTATGCAGACTATTTACCTAAGTCCCAATGAGTCTGGATAATTGAGGTTTGACTGAGTGTACATTGTATACAATTTAATTTATTATTAGAGGGTATCATCCTTTGCTTGTTTTATGGTAACAAAATGGTTTAGTAATGAGAAGTTTTAAACAAGAGAGAAGCAAAGTGAAAAAATCTGTTAAATTCTCTATTATATGTAATCCTTTATGTGCCTATAATCTCTATCATTGGTTTTCTCTTGTAGTTTGCTCAGGGAAACCAATGTTCACCTGCCTTCGCAACTCCTGTCAGTGGTCTACATGCCCTGCCCATCCTGATGCAAAATGCCGCATTAACCCCTGTGGAGGATGTAAAGTAGAATTTGTTGATAAGAATGGCAAAGTGGTTGATTGTCATGAAGGTACGTATTACATGATTTCGTGTATAGTTATTCTTACATTGATAGATTTGGCAAATTTTCTCTTTTATGTACTAGCTCTTCAAACTTTTTTTTGTATGCAAGAAATGATTCCTGAAAATATTAATATTTGAGTAATTAAAGAAGCCATTTAATAGTGTGTCAGTCAAGGATTTACCTCTTTACAACTGAATGACATAACTGAAAGTCTAGTGCATCAAAAATTGGCTGTTACAAATTCAGATACCTCCACTTACGTGTCCTGCTGCTCACAGGATCAGAAGATTTTTTGCACAAATTTTGTTTTGAGCAGAAGTTTGTTAAAAAATCAGGAAAATCGATAAAATTAATTGACAGACATTTGTACAACTTTTGTACAATATTGCAGTTCTTCTTGTTTTTTTTGGTAGGTCTCTCAAAGTGTAAACTGCAGGAACACAAAGCCTCAGCATTCAGTAGAAGAGGCCTACAACCGGTTGGCAGGTTTGTACCAAAGTGTGAGGCTGATGGTAGCTACAGCAAGATTCAGTGTTGGTCATCTACTGGATACTGCTGGTGTGTGGACAAGAATGGTACTGAGTTACGAGGAACAAGGGTCAGAGGCATTCCCGTTTGTCCTTCTCAGGGGCGCTCAAGTGTGTATAATATTGTAATGCAAGTGCATGGAGTAGATTTTATATTGGCGGTTAATAGATTTGACCCTTTGACCCTGAAGATCGAGTCCAGTTGCTTCCAGGGTCCACCTCTTTGTTCCTTTTTCAAGAAAAGAAGTGAGAGAAAGCCGACTCTGGGAATGAGGTCGGTGGTAATGATGGCAACATTCCGTGAGCAGGGTAGTCTTAACCCTTTGATCACTAAGAGTGACTAGCTTGTAATTTTACCTTACAATACCATCCTGGAATGACACATTCAGGTTAGGAGAATAAAGGATATATAACCAACTAGAGAGGCTCTTAATTGTTAAACAAATTCTTCATGTTATAAGCACCTTAGGAAATGTATAGACTGAGACTCAAAGTTAATGGTTTGTCAGTCATAGTCAATTTAAAGTTTGGGTGGGTCATGAGATTTTGTAAAAATTGTCAAATGGGTCACACCCACACAAATTACTTTGGCAAGGTTAATCATTGTCATTGAAAACAAACTCATTGCAAAACTTTGAGAATCAATAGCCACATCATTTATTTTGTACCAAGTAGACAGACAGTAACCAAAGATTTTCTGTGCAGTGTGTTTTTGATTTTTTCCAAATATAAGGGATACAAAAAATTGGAGAACAGTCTCCGATTAGATGTTAAATTAAATGTATTGATATCAATTTAGTTAACACTTTTTTGTGTATGGTTATACATCAATTCTTATGAATTTAGGTCTACCTTTCTGGGGCATGTCAAGTGCTTACTTCTGTTGGCTGATACATGTGGCCTGCAAAAGAAGACAAATGTGTCACCTGTCAAAAGAGATTTTCAATGACATTTAGGACAAATGTCAATAAAAAACGTACAAGTCATTTTTGCACATCACTTATCAGTACTTATCAATTTAGCCTTGATTACTAATAGCAGAACTGATTGTCATAATAACACTCAACAGAACGATCTATCAAGGATGGGTTTTGTCCAGTTGTGAAACAGCCAAGAACTGGTGCATGCTCACGCAGTTGTAGCTCAGATGATGAATGCCAAGAAATGCAAAAGTGCTGTAATGTCTCAGGATGTGGATTCACCTGCCAAGAACCTTCTTTCACAAGTATGTTAAATTGACTCTTTTCTCACATAACAAAATCTTTTTTGTTCATATTCTTTCAGCATACAATTTCATAATTTCCTTTCAGAAGCATTTCTCTCAATAAAATGTCTCCCTCTCCAAAATGAGATAATTAGTTCCACAAAATCAAAATCTGTTATGACAGGTACCTCTCATATGAAATATTGGGTTGGTACTTGAAGAAAGAGGTGTGGTCAGTTTTTGGGGGTCTAAAGAAACTTTCTGAGCCACTTTCAAACAATTACTACTTTCTCTTATATGTAAATCTGTGCCCATTGTGTCCGAAGTGGAGTTTTCAGAGAAAATGCCAGGACAGTGAGAACTGTACAAGAAGAAAAACTCCAGGATTGTATATTGATTGTATATTGTGCATGAGAAACAGTTAATAATATATGTTCATTATTTCTCACAAGTTTGAGACCAATAATGATTTGACTTGGTTGTGAGGGTTCACATGCTCTACCAACTAAGTATCATGGTTATGTGTAAGTTGACTCTTTTTTTTTTAAGCCAAGTGACCCATCTTTGCTTTCTGTAACATGAAGTGATTTGGTGGTAGAGAGTGAGACACTGCAGGCATCACGTACCTGTGGGTGGTAGGGGAGGGGGATATGGGTTCTGCTTCCCCAAAAATTTGTGGAAAAATTAAGAAGCTATTAAAGATGTGCACCCTTATCATTGTGTGCAAGGATTTCCACTGAGTTGGAAAGTGTCCTAAGTGAGTATAGAGGGAACAAGGAGTAAATTATTTTGAGGATATTGATTTTTTGGGTACTTAATTGCAGCAGCAGTAGGCTATCTCAAAATTATCACTTTCAATCAGAAACCTTATATGTGTGAGAGATAACGGCTTCAGCAAGAAAGCATGGATTGAATTGGTTTGCTTGAGTCTTTTGCTGAGTGCTTAAGACTTGAGGGCTCTGTACTTGGAGTACTAGTATATATACTCCTTCCTTTAGCATTTTTCACACTTCCCAGACTGCTACTCCTAGGTTGTGAGAGGCTTTGTGAGAGCTAAATGTCTTCCTCAAGAATGTAACACAATGGTAGGGTTATAGGTCTTGAACTGCTGAAGCCAGCATGCTGACTACCTTGAGCTATTGTGCCCCCCACTTATTTTCCACCACTAACCATGAGCCACTTGTTGGTTCATTGGGCTAGATATCAAAGTCCTATGTGAAAAGTGTACTATGCACTGTTATAGTATCACCAATATTGACACCATTCTGTGCAGTCCAGAGAGAAATTGTTCTGCTTTGTTGCTAAATTTGAAAGAGATTGGAGGCATTTGTCACAAATGTGGCACAAATAAAGAATCTGTTGTCATTGTCATTGTCATTGTTTCAGCCTGTCCAAATGGAAAACCTTTCTTGCTGTGTCTACACATGTGTCAATTTGCAAGATGTCCTGCATATCCAAAGGCTACTTGCTTCTCTGATCCATGTAAGATGTGCAAAGTTGAGTTCCATGATGAACAAGGAAATCTTGTCAACTGCACTAAAGGTTTGTTCTTTGCCAAAAGTCAAATAATCTGTTGTGGGTAAATTGTATTCATCCTTTCACATGCTTTAGACCTTATTGTGTTCATTGCAAAGCATTACTTGGGATGTATTTCTTGGGTATATTGGTGGTGCTAATAGCTCAGGTAAAAGGGTGTTACTTGCATTGGCAGCACAGGTCTAAAACTTGAGTGAATGTTGCTACTTGAACTTCTAGGTGCATGGAACATATTAGGTTAGAAACAACTCAGCTGGTTGCCTTTTTCAAACAGTCCAGACCACTCTTTTTGTGGAATTTATCAGAGGTAAAACTTTTCTGCTCCCCCTAGAGCCTGTATCAATCTCTATTTTCAAGGCTTAACTCCATGTCAAGCTCGCCAAAAGTTATCAACCGGTGTGCTGGGAGAGTTTGTTCTCAAGTGCAAGAGTAATGGAAGTTTTGAGCCAGTGCAGTCACATGAAGGTTACTTCTGGTGTGTTGACAAGGATGGAAGGGAAGTGAACGGGACAAGAAGGCTCTTCCAGAAGCCAACATGTATCAGTCGACTGAAGAGTAGTAAGCTATTAACTTAAAGACTTCCACATTAACATTATAAGAGCATGAATGGCTTAACTTTTTCTGAACAGACCAGGATTTTAGAAACATTGTCTTTTAGAGCCAGGTGCTTGTAAACTCCACTGAGGATTTTCCAGGTACCTAGGTCATGCTCTTTTGGGATCATCTGTTTTATTTAAGATAATTCCTTGCAGTTACCAGTTGTCAACAGAAAGCAACTGGTCTGGTGATTTGAGGGGACACTTCAACCTTGTCAGCCTAAAAAAGTTGCAATTAAATTCCTAATAAGATAATTTATATGACCTGATTCTAGAACTCACAAGAAGTTGATTAGGAGAGTAGAATTATTATTTGCTATCTAGTGCCATCCACAGACAACAGAAGTCACAAAAATTCACAATGTCCAGATATGACTATAATATTGCATTTCATTCAGTAGTGTTTTATGTAACAAATTACATGGATTGATGAAATACTTAATTATTTTCTTAATACTGTTTCATGAACTGGGCTGATTTGATAGAACCAAATCTGAACCACCTATATTAGTTGTGGCCAAAACCATACTTTTATTGTCACTATAGCTGCATTGAACTTAATTTGAAAAGAAATAACCTACCTTTAAATAACTTAACCATTTTGAGTGTTGCTTAGTAAGGTGGACTAACTGGTGTTATATATCACCTTTCCACTGTTGAAAACATGTCAGTAATAATCAGTGCCCTTTTACATAATGTTTCATCATTAATTTGTTTGTAGGTTTGACATTGTGTCAGTTGCAGACGCTACAAAGTGGTAAGTGTAATTGTGAATAATTTGGCATCCCAAGCAGAGTATGTGAATCACAGACATTCATGTAATTGACCATTGTTTCAAGGAAGCTGCCAACCTCTGGAACTCTGACATCCAGAAATTTGCTTGTAGACCGGGGTGACCTTTACTCCCACCTCCCAAGTTTGTCTTTTCAACTTTGCTACCCCAGTCTCTCTCCCAAATGGAACATGCTAACTGCATGGGTGCTTGTAATCCAAAAAGAAAAACAAAGAAGAAAAAAAAGAATGAATGAAATAACCATTGGAAATAAATCACAACAATTCAAGCATCTTATTTAGAAAACCTTGAAATGTTTCTCATAGTAGGAAAAATTTACTTTTGACTGAGAGATGTTGCATAAAAGGCCAGAAGACTTATTTTATAGCATGGTAATTCATATGTAGATCTGCCTTTTGGATAACAATAAATTGTAAAAGAATCTGAACAAAATATTGTAGCTAACATTAGAACAGTTAGACCTTTTGTTTTCAGAGATGTGCAATTTTCAATCTTGACTTTAAAATTGTCGTATTTGAATGTAGTTGAAATGGTCTATGATTGGCACTGAAAGGTTAGTGATGATAACATTTACACCTTTTTTCTCTGAAACAAAGGAGAGAGGCCCATGCCTGGTCGATACATACCACAGTGCAAAGCTGATGGCAGCTTTGAAGAAGTGCAATGCCATCCTTCCACTGGTTACTGTTGGTGTGTCAATACACAAGGATGGGAAATCAAAGGAACTAAAGTAAGAGGACGACCAACGTGCGGGAAAGGTAATTTATTTCCAATGATCATTATTAATTTTGGTGTTTAGACATTGTATGTCTAATGATATGAGGACATGTGATGATGTGGTCTGATTGTTTGGGTGACTGTTAAGTCCTGGGAGAATTGTTGTTGGCAGTAGTGACTGAGGTTTGGACATTTTGAGGGGAAGTTGTTATCAGAGTCAAGTGAACAGTTGTTGTCAGTTGATTGAACTTAGTCTGGTTTGGGTACACTGATTGGTCAGCTTAGCTGTGATGTTATTGGCCATAAGTCTCAAGTGGTGTATGTTTCAGTTTGATCACAATTCCTTACATTAACTACTAATGTTCTAAATCACCCAAGCCCTCAAAGTTTAAGTTCTGTTTGTAACTAACATTGTGACTGACCTCAGTGGTTCGAGTCCCGTACAGGCCTGATTTTTTTCAGGTCTGATTTTCGCTATTGCATAAATAGCGCTATCTACTGCGAGGATCGTGCATCATACGTATCTAATACCGCAGTTCAAAATATATGAACTTCATATATTCATTCTATCTCATTGTGAGACAAAATTTATTTATAATTGGGTATCCCTCACCTCTCAAGGAAAAACTTTATTCAATGTTTTGTAAGCTTATAAAAGCATTATATTTTCCACTCTTTTAGTGTGTGCACCTGTATTGTGCAGAATGTACTGTGAATTTGGTTGGGCTCAGGGTCCAGATGGCTGTGATATCTGTAAGTGCAAAGAGATTCCTATCAAGCCTGGTTTCTGTCCTGCAGTAGAGTCAGATCAAGTTGGTACATGCACAGAGGAATGCAGCATTGATGATGACTGCCTGGGAAATCAAAAGTGCTGCTCCAATGGCTGTGGTCATGTTTGTACTGCTCCAGAATATAAAGGTACATGTTGATCTACCCTTGTATGGTCAGAAATATTTTCAACTCATTCATAAAAAGTGAAGAAAAGAGAATATTTTATTAATGAGGTTGATAATGATGATGATGATTTGATAATACTGAAAATAGCAGTAAAAGGAATAAACTTTTGTGCTAATGATTTAGGGGTGAGACTTTCTCAAGTCTCTTGGTATATGTATGTTTACAGGACAATTTTCTTTGTATTTTGCTGCTTTTGCGAATCTTATAATGCATAACAAAATATGGTGGGGATTTAATTACTGATTGCAAGAAGGCCATGGTTCAAATAAAATTACTATGCGTTTTAAAGAAAACTTCCTGGTTGAGTGTCATTATTATAGCTTATGCGAACTAGATAAGTTGCTCAACCTTGTCTTGGCACAAATGATGGAGTAGAAAGCAAACTGATGGGCTGACTCTCAAAGGGACGTTTTCTAAGCTTGGAGAGTCTGTCAAAAGTCGAAATACATTGTAAGGAATTGTCTCAAGGTCAATGAAAGTATAAAGACTGAAGCGAAGGAGAATTCCTCTTTTGGGAGGACTCCTAGTTGTGAGGAATTAATTATTTGAGCCACTGAGAAAGTACTTGGTTTGAAAATAAATTCAAACAACTTGCAAGCAACCACAATCTATTCATATGTGGCAAAATGTATTTTGTTCTGACAGTCATGCGTCGATTGAATAACTATATGTGCTTTTATCCCTCAGCTAAACCAGGTTATTGTCCTGCAGTTGATATGCACCATGTCGGGATTTGTAAAAGTGAGTGCAGCTCAGACCGTGACTGCCAAGGAGAACGGAAGTGCTGCAGTAATGGATGTGGGCGTGTCTGTAGTGCGCCAGTCCGAGAAGGTACTCCACCTCAATGTAAAGTTTTCCATTTATTTGAAGACAATGATTTCATAAGGGATGGTTGTAGTGATACTAGATAGCAGGCCTTAAGAATTTTGCTGAAGCAGAAGAATTCTTTATTTTCCAAAGTACTCTTAACTTATGCTTAATGTTCTAAGATATACAGAATATGATGGTATGCGACTACATTGTTGGTAATGTAGGTTCCAAACGCGCAAGTCTGTCCTCACTCTCCTGTGGCAGCAGAGGGTATTATAGTGCACTCTTTTGTCTTTTAGTAAACTTCTGGGACTGCAATTGGAAAATAAAAGCATTTTGATGTTTTATTTCATGTTCGGTTTAATTAAAGTCCTTGGAGTGTTGGTAGGGGGCCGCACTTAAGTGTAGGTACCTAGTAATTCAATTTTACTCTGAAGTTAACTGTTCAACCAAAGTTTGTGAGGTGTATTATTTCATCTTTTTCTCTTTTCTTTCTATTTTTTTCAGCGTGTCCCCGTGGTGCTCCTTTCATGATGTGTCATTACAATCCGTGTGAAGGAGCTAGCTGCCCTGCCAACCCCAAAGCCCATTGCCTTCCGGATAACTGTGGCGGCTGCACAGCACAGTTCTTTGATGACAACGACAATCTTGTTGACTGTTCAGCGAGTAAGTATCGTGGAATTGGTTATTTATGTTGCCGCCAAAATTGTGACGTTATTTGTTATGAAACTCGTATTCTTTTTTTTTCTTTCCATCACATTTTGATTAAGTTTGTTTGTTTTCCTTAGGCTCGTTCGTTTTCTTTCCGTCACATTTTCATTAAGTTCGTTTGTTTTCATTAAGTTCGTTCGTCGTCTTTTCGTCGCATTTTTATTAAGTTCGTTTGTTTCTGCGGTAAATGTTTTTTTACGGTATTCGGTTACCTATTTTGAATAGTCTCTCTTGTAAATTTTAGCCATTCGGGTTTCACGTTAAACCGTGCGCAACCATTGCTTTTCGTTGTATATCGTCTTCAGTCAGCATTTTGCCGGGATCGCTTACAACGTTTCAACTTCGTTTTGGTTCGTTTTACTGTATTTTGTGTATTAAAGAGCGCGTATCATTTGGATGTGTGCGAGTGTTTTTGACCGTCATAAATTCTTTCTGGTTGGGCACGTACTGGAAACATTAGTCATACGTCACGCCCACGGCAGGTCCATCTCGGTGAATTTTAAGCATGTATGTACATAATATTGAATACATTCATTGTTAACAGCGAAACTACAACTTGTCAAACCTCTGTTTCTACCAAATAAACCATAAGTGTTGTGCTGGGTGTTTTTATGCTTCAACAGTCTGTATGTGTATGGTGATCATTGACAAAGAACTGCAGCTTTACAACCCAGCGTTTATGAATGTAAAGGAGGGTGATTGAAAAATCTCACCAAATATTTCATCAGGTGTAACAGCATTGTTATTACTTATTTATTTGTAGGTGCGACCAAATGCCAAAAGGAATATTTGGATGCAACTGCATCCCCAGGGATGGTTGGCCAGTTTGTTCCAAGATGTGCAGCTGACGGTTCATATGCCCCTGTACAGTGTCATGGCTCTATTGGCTTCTGTTGGTGTGTAGATAGAGATGGAAAGGAAATCCCCGACACCAGAGTTCGTGGACAACCAAAGTGTATGGTTTCAAAATCTTTTCAGTTACCTGTGACAGGGCTTTTAGGTTAATTAAGAAATGAACAAGAGGTTATTTGTACGATTTTAAGTTGTATCGCTTTTTCACAATTTGTCAACTTCCTTTTTTTAAATCCTGGATCAACCCCCTGAAAGATAAAGTGGGAGTTATTCTCAGCTGCAGGTACATCTGTCGAGACCTCAAGTTTGGGATTATAGAGATTTCAAGATCTGTGTTTGAGAGAAATTTAATTTTGGTGTGTCTTTTTAGGCGCCACAAAATGTCAAAAGGCGAATTTGAATGCAACTCAAAACCCATCCATTGGCCGGTTTGTTCCAAAGTGCAATGCTGAGGGTTCATATGCCCCAATACAGTGTCATGGCTCTATTGGCTTCTGTTGGTGTGCAGATAGAGATGGAAAGGAAATTCCTAACACCAGAGTTCGTGGGCAACCAAAGTGTAAGTTTCAAAATTGTTTTCACCAAGAAATTGATTTCTGATTAATACTTAGCTAAATCTCAGGTCTGACGCCGCTGCTTGTCTTTTAACTGTAAGGGAATTGAACCAAAGGGTATTGCTACTTTCCAAAACAGGAACCATTTACCACCGAAAATCCCCTTTTCTCAAGTACCACCGCCACCCCCAAACGATCGTAGAAGATTCAAATGCTTTTGGTACGGCTTCATTGTATGGTTTCTAACCTGTATTAGGTTCCAAGTTTCTTTCTTTCTCGCTAATTGATGGAAAAATCTCACCATGGGGGCGATCTGTCTATGGGGGCAATCTGAGCATGGGAGCGAACTGACCTTAGGTGCTGTGTGAACGTGGGGCAAAGTGATCATGTATAAGATGTAGGTTTCAAACTGAAAGAGAGAGAACGGTATTCTTGTGGTAACGTATGTCTCAAAGGTGTAAAAGAGAAGTCAGACATTCTTAACCCGAGTTTCTTTTTCTCCTGGTCTTGTGAGGAATATACATACAGAGCGTATCATTTGTGATTAGCGCTGACAATTGTTTAGTTTGACGTAAAATCGCTTTTCCTTAGCAATCTCATCGAGAGTGTACTTAAGGAGCTCTCCTTTTCATTTGTCATCAGGAACTGAAAGATATTCGAGACATAAGGGGTGACTAGGCTGTGAAGATATAAATATTTCACGAGATCACGAGTAACTGGTGCTGGATTCTTAGTTTCCAACAGTCTGATGCCTCTAACTAAATTAACATCTCGTCATTAGGCTCACTATTAAGTTATATCCTTGTAGGTGCCACAACATTCAGTCTCGGTCCTACTTGTGACGACGGCACAACATGGCAGCTTTGCAGTGATTCTTGTAAGAATGCTTCTTGTACCAACAATCCTGACGCCAAATGTGTAGCCCCGATGGGAGGCTGTGGCCCTAATGCTTGCAAACCCAAATTCTACAACAAAATGGGCAAGGAGGCGCAATGTAAGTTACGTCATACTTCAAAATACAGCGTGGTTGTACTGTGGTTTACTGTGTCTCCATTTGGTCTGTGTTTGGTTGAGGACATTTTCTTTAAAGAATACCAAGATTCTGCAAATCAGATTTGCTCGCACAGTTTTAGTGTATACACGGTTTCTTAGGAACAGCGAGGTTGACCCTTCTTAACCCATTTTGGGTTTGGGCTTTAATATTTCGGGGATTTTTATGACGAAGATTGACGATAGCACAAGAAGTTGTAAGCCCGCAGTGATTTCTCAAAGGGGAAAAAACTTATAATTGTACCTTTGAATTGTTTTTGACTTCTAGGTCTCACAGAATGTCAACAGAAAGCTTATCAAGCCACCCACCCCACGCTTGTAGGAGCCTTCATACCCCAGTGCAATCCAGATGGTAGCTATGCGCGTGTGCAGTGCTGGGGCTCTACTGGATATTGTTGGTGTGCGTCAGAGGATGGATCTGAGTGGCCTGGAACTAGAGTAAGGGGAAAACCCAATTGTGATGCCAGTGAAGGTCAGTTCCTCTTTGTGAAAAATACAGATATTACCAATAACGGAGATTATGATTTAAGGAGATGTGCATCTCTACCCCTATTTTAATTTTAAAATGATTTTCTGGAACGATTGAATAATCACTGTTTGAGAAGAAATGTGTTAGGTTTTGTATTGCCTAGTAAACCACCACCTCGTTTACCTCTGGAAAACGTAAGAGGATTTGGATTACAGAGAAAATGTAGGCCACGTATTTCAGGATGCACAAACCATGATAGAGGCTCTTAAAGCAACCAGCTGTGGTAGACCTCTTATACTTGCATGGTTTGTTTATCCATTTCAGGTAATGTAAAACTGTTTCTTTCAAATTTCCTCTTAATCACTTGCATACTTACGTATAATTTACAGAAGCAAAGCTAGGAATTCCTTAGAGCCCTGAAACGGGTTAACAAAACATAAAATATGAAGACGTTTACGCATATTTGCAACACGTGGTGTTGAATTCAGAATAGGGAGTTTTTAAGGTGTCGCCACGGTGAAGCCACAGTTTCCACCTAAGAATTTCGCCAGTAGCTCGTTGTATTACTTTTTGTGACGCTGTTATATCTTCTTTCGCGATAACATGTGAATGTGGCACTGGGTTCAAAATAAAAACGTGATGAAATTGATGTGGAAGTTTCGGTGCGAAGTTGATGTTCCACAAAGGACGGTTGAGAAACGTGAAAAGGTTTAAAACGCATGTGCTGCGCTATTGTTTTGCTCCTTGGATCTTTTGTATCCCTTTTTTCTCGTTTCCGTCGCTGTCATGTATTTTTTCTTAAAGTCCCTTAAAGTAACAGTTCCAGCCGTAAAGAAGTATTTTTTTTCCCTTTTTTAACCACACACGAGACATAAGAACTGAGCCCAAATTTATCATCTTTCCAGTTCCAGCTTAGATACGGTTGTCAAGTCTTGAAATGTTCATGTTTTTTTTTTTTTATTTCTTTACAGGTCCACAACTTTTGTAAGTATACTTTCTGTCGTAAAGTAATCGTTCTGCTTTCAAATCAAAGTCTTTTTTGTTCCAACCTCAGTTTGGATTTTTGTGGTAATGGAGCTGTTCTGAGATTTCCTTCCATTTTTCTTTTCCTAGGAGCGTCCATGTGAGACTTACCTTTGACTACAGCTTGGGTTTAGTGAAGGACGTTGTAGGCCAATTTAAGGAGTGAGTATACTTTGCATTCGATTGTTTAAAAGCGCTTATAAGCAATAGATCCTCACTTAACTTGTCCGTCTGTTAGTCATAGCTGCTTTTATTTGTGTCTCAGCTTTTGTCTATGTTTTCATTCCTCTATTTGGCCGTCCGTCTATCCTTACGTCCGTTCGTAGTCATCAGTCAGTCCTTTGGTCCGTTTGGAGTATCGTACTGGTAATTGTGTTAAAATAGATAATCATCTCTCGTTTTGTAGATCAGTTAAGACACAGATGATTACCATGTTTTCATTAAAGGAAAATCAACTACATGGCCTTGAGGTATGTTCTTGATATCTACGAGGGTGAAGGTAGTCTCCTCTGCATCCGTCTCGTCACGCAACGCAAAGAGAGAGCGTGTTGCGCGCAAAGAACGACTGCGAAGTTCCCTGAGAAGAAGGAATTGGAATTGTGTTCTTTGACAAAACAAACAAACAAACGAACAAAACGCCATGAGTACTGTTTCCTAACTAATGTGTTTTAAAATAAGAGTTCTTCTGGAAATGATTGTTACGGTACAAATGCATTAACTCACGGTTGTGTAGTCGTCACCGCTGTTTGCTTTTTCCACCTAAGGATTCACCTTTTCGCTTTGAGTTCCTCTCCGTTATATTTTTAGGTGCAAGAAGGAAGTATTTTAGTTGGATTCAGCGTTGAACCGGTCAGCGAGGGAAAAGACCTGAGAGACTTTGCAGATGAAATTACTGAAAAGGTTTGTTGAATCTTATTACCGATCTGACTAGAACAGGAGTCAAACCGAGTGAATTGGGTCACACGAACACCAAGTGGTCCACGCTTGAATCTCTACCTCAAATTACCAATTAGCCTCAGAGTTTTAGATCTATCAAATAGTTTGTTGGAAAAAATTCTGTAACATTTGTTCGTGTTGTTTAGACTGTAACTACGAATTATTTAGCCAAAAGAACTCTGGTTTTAAAATATTTGTTTTTATAGAGTTAAAAGGGCCTTTTCTTCCTCTTATAGGCACGCAAACACGAACTACTCATCAAATTCAGCGGTATCACCTTTGTTGCTGAACCAGACGTCATGCTAGCCTCACCTATGTATGTGGAAGAAAAAACAGTTTCGAAAAAACAAGACGAAACCGCTAGTAGCAGTGTGTCTGTCACCGGTGTTGCATTAATATCTGTCTTCTGCACCTTGGCTGTAGTTGCTGTAGCTCTTGTAGCGTTTAAGGTGCGTATCCTTTTCTGATGTCATCGAGTCTTCACTATCTACGAGAGAGCGACCGAAATGAAACCTAATGTTTAAATTCACTACGTAGAGCTCAGCATGCCGAAGAATTTCTTTGGTTTGAAATCTATCAACTCAAAAAGAACATGACTTTTTCTGTTTACTTAACTTTTGAATGAAGGTCATGTTCTTGGCTTGAACATGAAGTGCTGTTAGAACCCGTTTTTCTTCTCCCGAAGCCGCCGTTTGGAGACAGTTGCAATGCATGCGTCATTGTTCGAAAGTGTGTTACTGAACGGGCATGCATGTGAATGCAACCTTGCTTCTAGGGTGCTCTCTGTTCCTTTTTCGAATGCAAGAAAGATGAGACTGGAGTGGATTCGGCGATAATAATAGAAACAGTCTGAGTGCAGAAGAGATTGAACCCTTTGATCCTTTAGAGTTATTAGCAGCTAACTTCCCCTTACAAAATCAACCCTGGATCAAACACTTGAGGTCACGAGAATAAAGGAAATGATCACCAACCAAAGCTCTTGATTGTTAAACAAATTCCCCTTGTCAGCATCTTAAGAAATGTATAGTGAAAAGTATGCTGTTAGGGTGTACAGGGTTTAAAGGATTAACTCAAACTTAAGTTTGAAGTTGATAGCGGAATGACATTGAATTTGAGCAAATTTCATCCCTGAAAAACCCAGCGACACTAAGCTATAGTTAGAATCCATTTTTCTTCGTTCAACGTATTGCTTTGACTTGTTAACTGTGCTCCTCTCTTTATCTAGTTGATTCAGAAAAAACGGAAAAGCTCCGGTGTAGAGGAGAGGGTAAGTAAATATATTGGAAACCTTGATTATTTAAGCAAAGTTTAGCCGTTGTTTAACAAAATCGCGTCTCGAACCTTTTATCTGAATTTAATTTTGTGATTCTTATGAGCAGTGTCAAGAGGGCCGAAAGCTAACGGTGGAAGGATATTTAGTTGATCGAATCGACCCTCTCGTGGAGAGTATTTAAGGCCCACTGCATGCGTAAAGCCGCGGTTTGGGTTAGACCTCGCAAGTTATAGCCGGCCATAAAGATTCAAGACAATGCGTTCTGATTAAAGTAAAGTAAATGTCACTCCTCGTGGACCTCTGTAAATAATTGGCACACATCATTTGTCCCATGTGTTTGTACTGTCATTAACATGTGGCACCTTTTCCAGCGGTACCTTTTGAATTAAACCTGAGGTGTGCCTCATCCTTACCTCTAGGCCAACTTTGTTTACAAAGATGGAGGGGCTGAGATGAACAGCACACTCACGGATGCCTGAATTTTGGAATTTTGGACTCGACTCTATACTGGATGTGTCTCAACTACTGATTATTATTCTACAATGGCAGACTAATAACGTAGCGAAGGGGTTTGATCAAGTTTCGGTCATTATAGATGAATAAAGGCCGATAGTTTCGAAAGAAACTGTTTGGGTCTGCGTCGGTGGGGGTAACGAAATAATTTTGATATATCAACAAAGTTGAAATGGTAAATTTTGTAGTATTTGATTCCGTGACGCCCCAAGTCACCTCGGAAGTGCTGGGGGGGGGAGAAACTGCTAGGAAAAATCAAGGAATACAAAAATACCTTTTCGTTCTCGAACAGTACATGGTAATTTACTTGAAAAAAAAAATTTTTTTTGGTAGTAAAACAATTCGAAGATATGACCAAGTATATTTTTTAAGATAAATAAACAACCAACATTTTATATTGAGGATCATTGTGTTAAACACTTGAGTGGGTAACGCTCGCGTCTTGTGGGTAAAAAAAAAAAAGTTGTTGGAAAACAACACGGGTAACACGCGAGCGCTAGGTGTGATGAGAAAAAGGAATGTCTATCCATTTCCCCTTTCCAACAGCCTACAGTCCGTCTAGAGGGCGACTAGCCCGCTCCCTTCGCTCCGTCCAAAAAAAAAAAGAAATCCTCTATCTCGGGATTCCAATCTCCACCCAAAGTTTACTCATCTGAGCACGTTACAAGAAAAGTTTTAATTGATAACGATTTCAATATTTTTTACACAAAGAATTCTGACCAGGTTACCAGAAAAGGCAACATCTAGAATCAGAGGTATAGCCCCTCTGGCGTGCCTTCGTTCTTCCTGTACAATACGTTTTCTTTGGATTTTCTGAAATCCTCGTTGGTCACCTTCATTCTCCTTTCTCTTAAAGCCATCAGACCTGCCTCTGTGCAAATGGCCTACGTGATATACACAATTCATAAGTTAGTTCTGTCTAAATATTGATATTAGCAGCATGCATGTGAATTGAAATGGTCACACAACTTAAAGAACTGATCTTCCAGTCAAAGTTTAAGCCAGACTTAGCCGAGGCTGGGTTTGTGGTCTCCGAATGTCAGCTAACTTCGTTTCCAGGATCTTGTTTTAACAGGGAGAGGCAAGGCCATGGGACACAAGTTGAGTGTCAGCTGTTGGAATTTACCGCCGCCAATACGTTTTCCAATTTTGACCAGGGGGAATTCGTTGTGGTGAACTAACTTCATGAATAAAACCGATATTGACTTCTTACCTTGATATCAGCCCCTGAGAGGTCATCCTTGGCCATCACATACTCCTCCAGATTGACATCTTCTGATAATGTCATGCGACCAGTATGAATTGTGAATATGCGACGTTTTGTTTTCTCGTCAGGAAGAGGAAACTCGATCTTGCGATCAATACGACCTATGAAGAGTCACCAGAAAAAAACTTAACAATAAAAATCCAAACAAATGAAAACTCTGCACGTTCTTGGGCACCACTTGGAAAATAGCTAAACATAGGTAAATGAGATAAAGACAAAGCTGAAGGGAGTTATGCTTTAAAATGATCAATGCGGAGGACTCGTATTTTCTAAGTTTACCAAACTACAATCTTTGCCTCTTCAGGCTGCTGTATTTTCTTCAGCTTCAATGACTCATAAGGGAGTGCTGGCCACTCAACCATAGCACTTCCGCTTTGCCCAGCAAGTCTTGATATGGGTTGGAGCGCACAAAAAAGGGAGAGGATATATATATATATATATATATATATTTTTTTTTTTCAGCTTTTACAAGTAAAGTGGGTTTTCGTATAGGTAATCACATGATTTTGAGTGCAATTTGGAATAAATAAGCACGAGTAAGTTTTTTCAAAGACTAACAAAATTGCATGAGCCCGTAGGGCGAGTGCAATTTGTGGTCTTTGAAAATATTTACAAGTGCTTATTTATTCCAAATTGCACAAGAAAATCATGTG